TGACAGGTTTAGCAATGGTCTCCAGTTTATTCCTATCAAACCTGATCAAGAGGTCAGGCTTACCATCAGAGCCAGTAACACTCTCAATATTAAATACAGGAGTATCAGAATCCATCAATACACGCAATATAACATAACGAGCCTGCATGTGAGCCTATGAGTGGTGGGTGGAACAACATTATACATTATAATATACATATATAAATTATACATATACATGCCTGTATCCTTATAATGTGCAATAATGAGCAGTTGTGTATAAATAAAGATTAGATCAGTAACGCACTTGTCTCCATTTCTTTGTTTCAGGTGTATAAAACTCTAATGCTATAAGTCCTGCCCTTAACATGCTCAACCAATTCACATACATTATGTCTTCAGCTTCAGCTCCTTCATAACCAAATATACTAGAAATAGGCGGAGCATGATAATATAGACCACACCCATACTTACCGTAATATATTCCTGTCAGTGGAGAGGTATATACTAACACATTCTGCTCTACATTCTTCATAAGTTGATGCTATTGTACTAAACTGTGTATCCCATGTCTCTCCTGGATTATACCAACTCCTTATCTATAATGTACATGCACAACTATCACAAGTCACCAGTCACAGCATAACAAAGAATAAACGAATAAAATGATACTATATAAATTTGTACATAGTATTGTTGAAGCAACATTTCCTCCAACTCAATAAACTTATGCTTAAACATTGTAGTAAACAAGACACATGCTCTTGGCTTATGTCATCAATTTTTACACATACCAAGAGTAAATAATTAGTTACTCTTGACAATATTGAGAGCAAGAAACACTAGCTTGTAGTATACAGTGTACATGCATTATGATGAAACTAACCTTATCTCCAGTCAAAGGATTAATAACTTTATCTTGTTCAAAGTTAAAGACTCCATTCTTATCCTATTATAGACTCATACCATCAACTATAACAATGAATTAATGAGACTTACCTTACTGAACAGTTTCCCTGATCCGTGTCCTAATAGTTCATGCAATCCAACCTGCACTTCAAATGCTTTACCTCTCAAATCAGTAAAAACACCCTAACAAATTAAATAATGTAATGCACACAGTGCAATTCACATTTACAGTTACAAAATAATACTCAATCACTGTGATTCACACTGTGATCATTTCATTAATTAACAATGAGTTTGTTTACATAGAGTATGCCACTCCCCCATTCATTCAGGATAACATGTCAATTTGTTATTACAAAGGTACAGTACAGAGGAGGTAGGACACGGTTGACCTTTGAGCAATAATTGCAAAGTTCAATTGTATTCCATTGGTATCACGTGATGAAAAATGGCAGCTTTCTGATGATTGTATCACAAAACTAGCTACTACTGTAGAAACTAGAGAGATCTATGACGACCTTTGTCGGTTGTTAAAATCACCATTGTATGGAGAATATTTCTTCTTTGATTATAGACATGAATATAAGAAGGAGAAAGAGACAGTGCATCTTAACTTTGATTCTCTTCTTTACTTCATCAGATAAATCAATCTTCGCTAGTTTAAGATGTTAAAAATTACTGCACCTATCATAGTTTCTAGTGAATTAATGAAAGTCCCATTGACTCTATCTTTATGCTCTAAATTATTGTTAGAAGTGGTACTAGTGGAAGAATTTTGCATCACGTGATATCAATGGAATGCAATTGAACTTTGCAATTATTAATCAAGGTCAACCGTGTCCTACCTCCTCTGGGTACAGTACATATGCTGTGAGAGTTTACTGCTGCCTTCATCATACTCATAGCTTATCATGGGATACACTGTTAAGATTATTGTTATGATAAATCTTTAAGCAACAGCTCTGTGAGGCCTGTGTCCACTACTTCACTTCACCACCCACCACTACATAATAGGCTCATACATCATAGGCTCATCATAATAATTAAATAAATGTCAATGTGATATACCACAACAAAACTCACAATTTCTTTAGTGTTATAGTTAAATAAATTCACCTGATCCTCTGTTGTAAGGAATGTAACCCTCTTATCCTGTGAGGCAGCTGACAATACATTACCCAAAGACACATTCTTAAATCCTTCATTCTGTCTTATCTCATCATCTAACGTAAGGATCATAACCACACCCCTAACCCCACCCACTCACAGTTAGGTATATTGATACAAGCTGGTATTCCACTGGAGGCAAACGACACAACATCAAGTGAAGTAAAGTCTGGACGTAGGAACTTGTCCTTTTCAAACTCCACCCCCCAAGGGAGGAGAGGGAGGAACTCTTGAGCTGAGTCCACCAGTTGTGAGAATTTAGAACTCATTGACTTATTAACAACAGCAACAAACCCTAGAGAGGGAGAGAGAATGATCAAGAATCTGTCAAAAGCTGACTATAGTGCCATAAATACATGCCATATCATATAATGCAATTGAATTTTTGTAAAATACCATAACTAAGGAGGCTTAATGGAGGCATGCAGCAAGTGTTATACT